AAGATGGGATTTCTGTTACTCACAGGTACCTGCCAGCATTTAGAGTGGAGTTTATGCTGAAGACTGGTGGGATCAGAGTTCAAAACACATATTTCCAAGTACTTAAATGGTATCAGGATGGGCTATTTTGTATTCAGAGGCTTCCTTATATGTGGAGACAACCTGCTAATGTTCAATTACTTCCTTATATGTGGAGACAACCTGCTGATGTTCAATTTGAGATTCTAAATCCCAGATGTTCCCAAATCCCTGTGTTGGCTGCCAGACAAAACCACTTGTTTAGGACAGAAACACTTAACGCATGCAGCATCCGGACTGATTGAGCAGTTACTCCCAACCTCTCTCACTTCTTTCCTATCATAAAAGAGAAGATTTGTCTGATACCTGTGGCTTTTAGGAGACTGTCATCAGAATTCATGAACATTGACTTTCATGGAGCATCCCAGGTTTATTTTGTAACAGAATATCAGAAAAAGTTCATGCTATGGATAGTTCATACAGAAAAGCTGTAGTGAAATGCCACAAGCAATTTATTATATTTAGGTGTTCTTGGCCTTCTGCCTTTATCCTCCTTGTTGCCTACAGTCTGCATGTTGGGCTGTGTGTGTTACTGTTATTGGGGAAACCATGTCTTCCAGATATTTTAAAAGAAGAATGGCTTATCTTGCTCTGGCAGCCATGTGCAGCGTTCCCTGGGATCGTGCCTAGTTAGTAGGATGGGGCTCTGCTCAGTGCACAGTTCTTGAATGGGACGGAGTTTCACTGGTGCATCCTCACTTGATACTGCTCTTTTATCTCTTCGTGTGGTAGCGTCTTACTGAAATAAAGATGCATAGATTGAAAACCACCACAGTGTAGGACAGGACTTTTATACATGTTGTATCTTTAAATACCTGTAATACTTCTTGTTAATGACCATTAGGCTGTTTGTCAGCGTTCCACACAGAGCTCCTAAGGTTAATCTTGAATGAAAACCAAATTGCTTCTGGAGTGGTGTGGCACATGAAAGGTGCTGCTAAGAAACGTGAAGTCTCTCGCTTCTCGAACAGGGTGAGATGAGATACCCGAAAGGCTGAATGCAATCCACAGGGAGAGAAACCCCCTGTTGCTTAGCTATAGGAGGAGAATTTTTTTAAGTCACTAGAGGGATTTATTACTCAGTTACTGAAGTGGTGGAGGCCTCAGGTGGATTCTGAATCGTGTTGTATTGGCCTGTGAGGACAGCCTCTGTTAATGTGGAAGTTGCAAACAACAGCCTGAAACAAGCCTGCTATGGCTTGTTCCTTACAATGCAAGAGTAAAAGCTTTTATCAATGTTTCTTTTTCTAGGCCAATGTGATGCTCGAATATGACATTGATGAAGCTCAGGCTCTGTTAGAGAAGAATTTGTCAACGGCCACAAGAAACCTTGATCTTCTAGAGGAAGACCTGGATTTTCTTAGAGATCAGTTCACCACTACAGAAG